AAGTTCTCATTAAGCAAGTTGCACAGTGACTGACTTCTTCCAAGGATATCAATAAAGTATTAGTATAAATCATTAGTTGTATTATATTGAAAGTTTATATGTATATATGTATATATCACAGAACTGGAAAGCTCTTGTTAGGTGTTATACTCCTGTTCTCTCATTTTGTTCCATTTTCTTTTTACTTCCAACTGTAACCCATGAAATATATTCCAGTTTAGAAGACGTCATGTTTATTTCATTCTCTTTCCAGTGAACCTGAAATAAGAAAAAAAAAGAAATTATTGGAAAAAAAAGAAAAATCCAAAATGTTAAAGAACTTCTAAATTAAAAAAAAAAAAGATGGATAAAACAACCTCTAAACCTAAAGGCAAGATAAAATAGCCAGGAAAGAGGAGAAGAAAAAATCCCCACCTAACAATTGTTTTCAAGCCATAAAAGTTATTTTATCTATCATAATTTATTATCTTCTAATTTCTTACACATTTCTAAAACCAAAATAAAATTGCTGTAAAGATTCTACTAATAACCAGCAATAGCTTATAAAAAGACCGTATAACACATGAGTTACCCAATCTTTGAATCTCCAAGTCTAATAAAAACATTACCAAGCAAAAAAACTTTTTTATTCAACACTCAAAAAGCTAAGCTGGTTTTTATTTCAGTTTTATGGATGGATTGTCAGCTAGTACTCAGCTTTCAGAAGTTTGTTCTGCCTACTCAATACTACATAAATGTGTCATTAACCTGGCTGCATTCTCAAAGCAACCAGAAAAACAGTCTGGTTGGTGCCCCAATTCCAGGATTTTCAAATTCCAACAATAAGGGTTGTTTCTCCAATTCCTGAAGGAGTCTGTTGAAGGTTAAATGAGTCCATTTCCAGAATATCCCCACAACCACAAGTAAAGCCCAAGCCATGATCCTCTCACAACAATGGATTATTCTGTCTGTTTGGCATTACTACATCACCCACACAAACATTTGGAGGAACAGAACAGAATAAATTTAAATAAACCAACACAATTGGGGTTGCATATGTGGGGGGAAAAAAAGAAAAAAAAAAAGGGGGGGCTGAAATTTGGGCCTCACATTTCAACATAGATATTCACCCTGTATTTCACAAGCATGTGAGATACTAAAGACATACCAGTATACTTCAAGACCTGCAGCTTCTCACTACAGTTCTTCTCACTGTGTAAGCTTAGCAAGATTAATGAGGAGTATTAAAAGACAAAAATAAATTGTGTAGTTGGAATACTGTATAAACTGGAAGAGAACTTAGCTCAGAACAAGCAGTAGCACATTCACACAAAACTACTCTACAGCTCTCTAATACTGTACAGCTGGGATATGTGGCTTTCAAAAATACACACACGTATTTGCACCCCTAAACCATTCCCCTTTAATAAAGAGAAACATTGGTACTTGCTTGTATTTAAAAATAAAATCAATAACTGGAACCTAGCCAAAAGTCTCTTTTGCTCCATGAATAATCAGATGAGTTCTGTTTGTTTACTGATGTTACTGTATCTCACCCGTAAGTAATTTGATTTAATAATACTGGAGATAGTAAGTGTGATTTGTGGCAGCGCTGAGCAAGGAGTCTGAAATCTAGCTGGAAACTGACCTTGACAGAACATCATGTAACAATTTTGTTTTCTTTATGTTCACTTCAGTTAATCCAAAAAGAGAATAGGAGAAGAAAATGTAGCTGGAAATGTGCATCAACTTCAGATCTTATTAGAAATACACACTGGTTTGGAAACAAGAGTTCATCCAGAACAATTTAGGATAATGACATAGACCATTCGTTTACTAAGAACTTACAGGAAGTAATTTTCTCTTGCATTTCAGGGTTGCCCTACAACTAACACTCCATGCACCAAGCATTTAGCTGTTGAGCTGGCACTCAGGAAAAGTTATAACAATTCAGTGCAAGAATTTAATGAAAAAAATTAGCTGGACTAGCTCTGTGTTACTGTCCCATTGCATTAAAATGCTTCCTGCTGAATTTCACATGCAGAAAGCTGTGAATACAAATAATTCCATCTGCCACACAATCTTATTCTAATAAATTGCAGAACATATTAATTGCAGTTTTCATGTGTAGAAGTTCCACTGCATCAAATACTAAGGTGCATGGCTTATTCATTAGTAAGAAAGGCACTATAGATGAGCCTTCCAAGAGTGCCAGAAGCAATGGGATTAAATTGTCATCACAGCCTCTCTATAAGGAGAGAAAGCCTATAGTAGCATCTTGGTTTGAAATTTACATTGGACAAATATCTCAGTTTTGACTTGAAAAAAAAATAAAATAAAAACAAGAATATGACTGTTCTGCTGACAAACCTATCCCCATCACAGATGGCTTTATAATCCAGAGAAGTGATGCTGCTGATCAGTTCTTGGTTGCTTCATCTTCCACGAGTTTAGGTGAAGTTTCAGGTGACTGGCACTTGGACCAGACTCCCATAACCTAAATTCAATAGTGAATAACCCTATAATTAGGACCTGAAGACTTCTTCCTCGTCTGTGGTAAGCCAGTGTTGCTAAGGGCATTGTAGCATTTATTAAGCACTGGGGTTTACCAGATCTTTTTAGGTTCCTGGCTTGCCAAAGGTGTGAGTGACAGAGTATAGACATCAGTCAGCTGTGCTTGCCCCATCCCTGGCAGTGCTCAAGGGCAAGTTGAATGGGGCTCTGAGCAACCTGGTCTAGTGGAAGGTGCCCCTGCTCATGGCAGGGGGATTGGAACACAATGATCTTTAACACCCCTTCCCACCCAAACATTCTGTGATTGAACCATACTGAGTCTACAGTAAGTGCAGTATCTCAGTAAAAAAGTTATTTCACACAGTGTTACTGACATGCTACAGGAGATTTTTAGCAGCTGAGATTTACAGGAATACGTCCTTCACACTACAAGAATTGGTTGTGGACAACTGTTCTCAACCAAAGACACTATACAAGAGCTATAAGCTCTCAAACCAAAGTCTCTTTACCAGCCTAACTCCTTCCACCTTGCCCAATTCCAGTCACTGCTCTTCAGTCACAGGTGATTTCATCAGGCACCTTGTTACCCTTAGCTGTGCAGCCTTACAGGACAAAACACATGCCTGTCAAAAATTTCTGGCACTTGCCTTTACAGCTTGCAGAACAACAAATCCACTTGTCAGCAGAACTGCACGTTATCACCTGCTTGCTTGGTACACCCCAGCACGTAGCTGTGGCTGGCACAGACTCTTTAGTTTAAGAAGCAGTGTCACTAAAGAAGCTTAGAAATCAGTGCAGCTGATATTTTGCCTAAACAATCACTTTATACGAGCACATTTGGGTTTAAGCATCTCTGATATCCATCGAGATAAAACTGATGAGATAAACAGTTGGCTCTGAGAACACTGGAACTACCAGTGCCTGGGCTCCTCATAATTTTCTACCTCATGGCTGAGTTCTTGCAGTTTTCTCCCTGGCTGGGGCATAAGCCAACTCTGCTCCTCACATCATCTTACAAAGTCTCTCTCTTCCAGCCAGCTGCCTCTTTTCATGCACTTTCTAAGTACATAATCATCTTTGAGGCTCCTAGCCCTTCTGTCAAATCAAGTGGAAACCTGCCAACAACTTCAAAAGTTGTTGACTGCTTCTATCCCTGAAATTTGGCTGAAGAACAGTTATTTACATCTTCTCAGCTTCACTTTGCAACTATTCTCAGTGTGTTGCACAAATTACTAATGGCAAACCTCTTTCATGCCCAGTGCTGGGGTTGCTTTTAAGCCACACAGCATTTTGCTTCTGCTTGCAGTTCATGACTCTGTGCTGATCCTGGCAACCCCACCCAACACACCAACAACTCAGGGAAATCAATTCCTAAACTGATGTAACTCAGGAATTTAGACACAAGACAACAAAAATTGTGAAGGAAGAGTGATGAAATATAAATGAGGGAATAAAGCTGTGATAGGAAACCACTAAAATTCTCTGCAATGAGCCAGTATTATTAGGACTGGGATTACTGTCTCCTCCTTAACAGAACGAAATTGATCAAAATTTCAACAACTTGCAACTGCAAGAATTTGAGTGTTTTCCTCAGTTCAAAAGGTTGTTGTTTAAAATTGCCAAATTTTGTTAACTGAACGAAAATCTGATTTGTATTGTGACAGTGGTGGAGGTTGTAATTACTTTTCCCTATGTTTGAAGAAAGAAATAAACAGAGACACTGCTCTATAAATGCAGAAAAAGACCAACATTTGAAAGGAATGATCTCTTACACCCACCTCAATGAGGCAGAATCATAACTTTTTGGCCCCTGTACAGATCCTGTCCCCTTCCACCTTTAGCCCCCATGTTAAATATATTTGTCAACAAATCTCATGCACCATAAGATACATGTAAATGCTTTCAGTAGCCACCAGTCTTTGTCCTTGGAAGGTGTCACAGAAACACATTTCCAGGAATGCAAATTCTCACTATTTTAAACATCAGAGGGAGAAAAACTTCATGAATAGCCCTTACTTGCAACACACATAAGAAGAAACAGGAACAACACTACAAGAAAAGGCCAATACCAGTACATTACCACTGGCTGGTATTGGTCTGACACATTCTTTCTCCTTCTGCCACTGACTCAACAAGACCCCAAGACACCAAAAGAGTATTTGATGGTACCTCCTCTAGAAATTCTTCCAAACAATCCCTGTAGATTTTCAACCCAGACTTTTTCTTTTTTCAGGATCTCTATTGTCTCTTCTGGAGCCCTTGCCTATTTAGCTGTCCCTCCCATGCCAAACCACAGCTCCTGCACGTCACACGTCTCTGTTCCCCTTCAGGATGGAGAACCAGAAGCGTAGATGCTATCCCGGACGGCTTTTGTATAAGTGCACCATTTTTTGCTTTAAGCTGTTCCAATAAAAACTTTCCTGTTTGCATCAAAACCAAAACAACAGGTTCACAGCTCAGCCTCCCTCATCTGTCACAAGGAGAAACCGACTTTAGAAATTGCTGCAATGGGAACTGTGAGTAAAGATCTTGGAGAACACAAATTCCCAGCCCATGACACGGGCCAGCACTTACAGTGAATCATCACACAGACACCATGGAGAAGATTTTTGTTTCTCCATCTTCCTACTGCTTTACATGTGACTATTCAAAGACTACAATGTACCCTTTCCTGAGCCTCAGAAAGATAAAATGTATCTTTACAGTGATACTCACACTTGCCTTTTTATCTCAGATTAATTGCCTGCTTTTCAGTTGTTTGATCTGTGCCCATGTTTGATCATTAACAGAAGTGCAAAACACCAAGTTCTGCCCTTCCTCAAAAAGCTTTCTGATTTCTTAAGTCACCAGGGAAAAAAATGACAAAACCGAGTTACAAGGAATGGTAACGTCAGCATCATCTTTAAACCCATGCATATTTTATATGTTTGTCAAAAAAAGAGTTTGAATGTCTGAATCACTATACCTCATATATTTCTTCATTAACATATCCTGTACAAATCTTCCTACAAACACTTCACTCAGTCCACACATCTAAAATCCTGATCCAGCCTCAACCCATCTTCATTTAACCTGGCCCCAACAAACTCCTCCTTGTTTCTGCTCCAACCACGAAGCTTGTCAAGACCCATGTGAATGGGTTTTGCTCCCATCAATCACTACATCCCTCAGTGTCTAAACTGTTTTACTCTATCAAGAGGCATAAACCAAGGAATAAACAAGGACAGTGGCAATATCCTGACACCCTCTGGGTCACACTTGCAAATAATTTTGTCAGAGGCACACCATGCATACTGTTTGGACAAAAAAGATTCTGCACTATCAAGGCTTGATATGAAAGTCAAGTGCATATTTTTTTCTGTTTTTACTGTCAACATCCCACTGGGCAAGAATAATAACTTTTTATACAAGTAATTTGATACTTAAAAAAAATAACCAGTAAGTACTTCTTACTTTGCAACAACTTGTAAGGAGAAGAAAGGATTATCTACACTTTGACAAGGCTAATTTACAGTCAGATTATAACATGAGGTCTCACTATTTTGACACCAAAAAACACCCTTTCATTCTATAAGAAAAGAGCAAGTAATCATAAAATGAGTCAAGGGATTTTCCATTGCCTTGGGGTGGAAGGGCATCATGAATCAGGCACAATGCTGTTTGCACGATTAAGTTGTTGTTCTTAAAATAATCCTGGCAGCTTCAAAGTTAGGAAAGCTTAAGTGGTTCAGTGTTTGCTGATTTTGGTAGGGGGTTGCATGAGGAAAATAAAGCACTAAGTAGAGATATGTAAAACTCACACTTATTCTGGGAAGGGAAAAATGTAGGTTGAGAGAACAAGTCATGGTTCCTCTGAAAAGCTGATTTAAAAATATTTGCATTGAAAATCAAAGTAAGGGATATAGGTAAACTCGACCTGATGCTAAGCAGGTGATTTGCACACATTCGCATACGTCTACCCACATACCTCTGAAACTCCATCCACACGAGAACACACGGCAAAACAACTCTGCCTCCAAAACGCTGCACACTGCTTAGATTTCAGACAGCTCCGGCACCACCTGTGCTGGCATTTCCTGCTCCAGGCGGACAGCCTCTGGAGAGGCTCCTGAAGAGCTCGCTGCCGGGCATGCGACGGCCGCTTTGAACATTAACCGCGCCTCGCTCCGAGCCCGCACCGCCGCTCCCCGCTCCAGCCTCGCGGCCCCGGAGCCGCCGCCGGCCCCCGCCCACGCAGCCCCGGCAGGGATTTAACTCTGCCCGGGAGGAGGCGACGCTCCCATCCCCCGGCACCGCGTCCCCACCTCGGCACCGCAGCCACAGCCGTGCCCGCTCCCCGAGCCAAGCCCACCGCTGCTCCGCCGCAGTCCACCCCCCGACCGACCCCGCGGCTCAGCCCCGTCCCAGTCCCCGCGGACCCCCGGCTCACCGGCGGCTCCTCACGCAGCTCCGCTCCCGCCCCCTCCCGGCGGCGACTCCGGGCGCTGCCCCGCCCTCACGGCAACTTTTACTTCCCCCGCTTCCCGCTCCTCCTTCGCGCTCCCCTCCCCAGCCCGGCGCCGCCGCGCCTGCGCAGCGTGGCAGCAGCCGGGACGCTCTCCCGGAGCGGTGTCCCGGATATTCCCGAGCCGGGAAAGCGAGGCGGGCAGGGAGGGAGGGAGGGAGGGAAGGAGAGGGCAGCGGCGATTGGAGGCGCTGGCCGCGCCCTCGGCCGGCGCGCGTGCGCGGTGCGCGCGCGGGAAGGCGCGCGGGGCCGGGGGCGCCTGACGGGCCGCGATGGCGCCTGAGGCGATGGGGCCGGGGGCGGGAGCGGGTCTCGCATCCCCGCGTCCTGCCGGAGGTGCGGGGGGAAACGCGGCCAGGTAAGGGGCTGTCACAACCCCGCCGCTTCCTCCCCGCCTGCTCGCGGCTCGAGGGCACAGGCGTCCTCGAGCCGTGGTGCCCCTCAGGTGCTCGGGTGTGGAGTTAACAACCCGCTCAAATGCGCGCGGCGGCGCTTGTTTTTTCCAGCAATTGTTTTCCAGTTCTCATTCCGGGATATCTGGCCGTGCACGTTGGCTTTCCTTGAGATGCCCGTGGAACAGCACTGGCGAAGTGTGACTTGGGAGCCAAACCCTGCACAAGTGTTCATCCACCTCAGAGCTGCGTTTGGCTTCCCTGCGGCCTGCAAAGGTCCCGTGTAGTTATTAATTCATCTATCACCTGCCCCAGAGTCACTGCCCCAAAGTTGTGTTCCCTCTGATTTTTATCTAATCCATTATGTTGGCCAGGGAGTGGTGTTTCCTTTTGTTATTTGAGATAGGAATTCCGTATCCACAAATGCTCATATTTCTAGTTGCTCAAGTACCTTTTATATTCCACTATTTTGATTTTTTTTTTCCCGGATAAGCATGTAGATTTCACTGACACAGTTCATTTCTAGGTCAGCGATGAGTTTTTAGGTGCTACCACACCCAGTCTCAGTCCTTGGCACATGCTGATGGATACAACTTGTATTTTTCCTCTTCCAGTTGCCTTTCTGATAGCCTTCTAGGAATGGAAAAAATGCTTCTGTGCCTAAAAGCATGTTCAGTTTTCCAACAGCATCTTCTGCAATAGTAAATAAAATAATTTCCCTGTAGAGTTCCCTTTCTGCGTCTATCTTAGGTCATCCAGATTGCAAAATGACTGTGTGGAATACAGGGCATCAAATCAGCTCACTGCCTTAAATACAACATTTTGTTGTTCTTGTATCCTTTTTTTATTAAATAGATACATTTTCCTCAGATCACCTTTTGCTACTGTTTCTCCCATTATATTCCCAGTGTAAAAGCCTCACAAGCAAAGCGATTTTAGCACCTTCACTCTCCAGTGTTTTCCAACAGCTTTTTGATTTGGTGATTCTTTGGCAAGATTTTCATTCAGTTTTCCAGATTTTTGTCTTACATATAGAGAAGTAGGTAGATAAATCAACAGATAGCCACATTGTTTCAGTGATTTGTAGAGTCATGTTCACAAATTGGAATTACTTACTACGGGATTTGTATAAAATGATTTTTCTTGAGGCATTGGGATGTTTTCACTGGTTTCCTTTTAGTTTTTGACAGATATTAGATTTCTTTGTCTTTTGTTTTCTTAAAATTTCCCTAGAATTTGTGATTTTTTTTAACAGGAAATTGAATAGCTGATCCATTGTTCTAAGATTCATATAGTATCGTGGCTCTACTTTTTTGTAGTTCTGTCTTAACTGTTTGTTGACAGATACTCACTGGAAATTTAAGGGTAAAAACATGTTGAAAATCACTGTATTAACGTGGCAATTAAAAATCTAATTTTGTGTTTGTGCATCTTCTTATTGTACACTAATAAAAATCATTCTGCTTATTGTTTTGGGTAGTGTCAGTTCAGTCCTTGATCCCTGCATCACTTCTTTGCAAAGCCAGTCAAGCAAAGGCATCTGTGTGTCCCAAAGTGGGATTATGACCTCATTTTGATATTTTTGCTTTCCCTGAACTCTGCTTTTCATGTTTGCCTCTGCCCTTTCTTCAGCACGGATTTGTTTTTCACCGCTAATCTTTAGAAGTCCCTTAGGATTTATAGTGGTTTCTTCTGTTCCTTTTTTTTTTTTTTCTCTCTCGGAGTAAGTGAAGTCTGTGAGCTTTAATTATAGTATATTTTAAGATTCTCTAGCACTGAATCTTAAGAGAGCCTTCCACACACAGTTCAGGCAGAGAGTGACGCAGGTGCAGCACAGGAAGCCCTAAATGAGGTAGCAGAAGAATTTTTAAATTAGAATAAATGGTACAGAACAATGCTACCAGGGCAAATTATTTCCTGCTGCCTTTTGTGGCAGTGCAGGATATGTGCTAGGCACGATGCAGAAGAATGTTTCTGTGGGTTTATGAGCACACTTTGGTATTACGTGTAGATAGATTGTTACACTGGAGAGTTGGTGAGGAGCTGAAGAGGTGCTAAACGTGCAGGAGTGGGGTTGAAGGAGGTGCCTTCAGGATGTGACACAAAACACCAAGGAAAGGAGACAGAATTTATCCAGGTCTTTGAGCACATCCATGGCATTGGGGGTTTGCACATGTCCATGTCCATTCCAGGGTAAAACACATTTGTGGATAGCTACATGCCAAAAGAAAAGTCTTAGTTAGGAGACATCAAAATGTTCAAAGGTAATTGCATTAAATATTTTTCCTCAATGTTGCAGGAGTCACACATCATTTTCATCACTGACTGAGCTGCAGCTCTTTGTTTTACAGATGCACACAAAGGTTTATTTTGGTGTTACCATTTTCCTGTTCCAGGGTCATCTCTAATCTTGTTGCCAGTGGCTTTTATGTAAATAAATTCTTTCTTCCTCTGAAATAATTATATTTTGTCTTTTTTTTTAATATGCATTTTTAAATGAACATTTTCATACCTGTAGCTTTACTGGAACACCTGTTCTCTAATTTCTTTCATATTTCTTCCTAATTCTTTACAACAACCTTTTCAATCAACTGCTATCCTGTTCATGTTCAAATGTTTCATAAAATTTATGCCTGCTCTAATTATTTTTGGAAGGGTAGAACAGTAAAGGTTGTGAGTTTTTTGAAAAATAGTTAAGCAATGTTTTATTGAGTCATTGATTTTGTCATTGTTGCTCTTGTCTTCTGCATGGATCTTTCTCCTTTTTCATGAGCTGTTCAGTGTGTGAAATCAACTTTGTGTACTTAATAGGAACTGTGTCTGCACTTACTGGAGTATTTTGCAAGAAGTAAATTAGCAAATTATGTGTGAGGTCTGAGGCAGAAAATTCCACAAGCCAATGCAGAGTTTAAGGTGTGCTTTATTAGCTACATCTTTCTTTTGAAGTGTTTTCACTGCAGTTAATTCAGCACTACAGGATCCTGCCTGTTATGGTCCAGTCTGTTTTACTGGCCCATCATGAACAATTTTAATGTGATTAAATACCATTTAGCACTGACTTTAAGACACTTATGAGCTAATGCCATTTTAATTGAAAAACTTGTTTCATTCCAGTGGATGGGACCTGCCATGGTGTTGTTGTGAAGTAATTACTGAGCTCTGAAGAGAGTGTTTGAGGCTGTGCTACCCTTCTCAGGAGAAACAAGGATAAAGAGAATCATTGTTCTACAAGAAAATGTAGTTTGAAAGATACCAGGGGCACTGGGCCCTACTCTGCATGGGCTGTAGCAGGATAAAGTTTCATTAAGTAAGGTAAGGGTTACTTCAGAATATGTGATATTTTTCACATTCTCTAAGCCTTTGGGGTATTGTCAGATCCTATGTTTAAACAGTTCTGCCTGAAGAGGAGAAAAAAAAATCTTTCAAATTCCAAGATGTTCTTGCAGTTGCTTGTCTTCAGGAGCAGTGCTTTTTCATTGAGTGATTGGCTCAGTGCTCTGCACAATTCTGCAAGAGTTAAGGAAACCACCCTGGTAGGGTGGAGTGCCATAAAGATGGAGAAGAGCCAGAGGAAAAGTAAATAATACTTTTATTATTTGTGACATGAAATAGCAATCATATGCATTTGCTATGGCTTCTGAAGGGAAGCCCTAACAACATTTTAGCCCAAGTTCTCTAGGCTGTATGCTTAGCAGTGCTGCCACAAAATGATCCAAAACAAGAGCAGAACAAATTTAAAATATATCTTCAGCTTGCAGTAAGCTACATGAGGATGTGTTTTCTTATGGGGAACTTTACCTAACTCCATTCCAGTGCTCAAATCTTCCCTACCATGAACACCTTATTCCCACAACCTTTCTTTTAAACACACTCCAGCAGTGTTTTCCTCATATAGTCTGGAGCAAGCAGTCACATGAAACTTACTCATCCAATTGATCTCATTCCCACATCCTGCATAGAGCCTAAAATTTACACATGTAAATTGAGGACATTAGAAGGCATGAATGAAAGGAGGAGAAAATGGATCCTGTCTGGGAAAAAGAAATATCACTGGCTTTTTTCATCTTAAAAGCTCCAGGTGAGGCTTCAGAAGCAATGAGAGTGTTAAGTGGTGGTTTATTTTAGGTAGGCTAAAAAAACTGCCTAGCATTTCTGGTCAAGTTTGATCTTTTTCCTCCTCCTTCTCTCACTTAGCTGTGGACACTTTCATAGAGCACAGCCACCTTTTTTAACTTATCTTCCTGTAGGTGCAGGAATAACACAAGATATTTTCCTCTTATTCATTGTACATTAGCCAGACTATACAAATTTTCCTGGTAGCTTTTAAGGGCTACAGTGTTCAGTGGGGTGGCAAAAGCAGTTTCATTGAAGTCATCTAGAATTTCACTCTTAGAAAAAGAAACATTGGTTTGCATTCTTCTTCAGACTTTTTGATGATAATGGGTCTGGAACAAGGTCTCTGTGTTCTTGATTTTTTTTCATTCTTTAGGAACAAGGAAAAGGGTGGGGGTTGCATAAGTCTTGCGACTGAATATTTTTCCTCTTGGATAATCCAGTTTCCAGTCCAATAATCTACTTCTGTGGAACAACAATGTAATTGAATAGCCTAAAATAGGAAAGGATTTCAGTTTTTAAAGTTAGTTGCTGAAACAGTCAAAGTATAAGAAAATTCTGTGTGTGCTTTATATATCTGACAACTGTTTAAAATTGTGTCCTCATCTGGATGCTCTTGAAAAAATAAAGTTTTTATCATGATCTTTGTGTTGCATCAGTCTTCAACAATCCTTGCAAGTTTCCAGGTGTCATTTATTTCTTCCTCCTAGCATGTAAACCAATAAGAATGGATGTCTGCAACAGAAAAAGAAAAGAAAGAGAGGTCTGATTCATACAGAATTGAACTTCCGGGGTGAAACCCAACATGAAGTAAAATGAGAACAAAAGAGAAGAATTTAGTGAGTATAAAATCACAAGTAACTAGTGGCTGACGTTACATAATATAGATTCTGTCTCATTAAAAAACAAATACATTGAATACTTCAGATAATAGAATGCAAAAATGTTTTGTATTTTGTCCTGGGTGAGAAACTGAGCATGATTTGATCTGAAATACATGAGTTGAGTCCCTTCCTTGTACAGCTCAGTTTATACCCAAGTAAAATGTAACAGGGTTAAAACATAGTGACTTCTTAGAGAAAAAAATGTGGAAGTAAATAGGATAAAACTTTTTTTTGCCATAGACAGATCGTGCCAGACTTGCCTGCTTTCGCTCTGTGATACAGTAATTGCTTTTCTAGACAAACAAACTTGTTACACTGAAGAAAAGGGGAATTTTTAAGGTGTCAGATGGACAAAGAAATAGCCCAGAGGAAAAAGTGGCAGTATGTTACACTTAATGGCAGGGGAAGTTGTTGGAGCGCTGTCTGAAAATTGATATTGAAACCCATCTTGTTTAATTTTTTCATTCGCGATCCTGGCACAAAAACCTAGAACTTGCTAATGAGTTCCTTTGGCATCACAGAGTTGGGAAACCGTCCCTGTAGCGTGCTGTTGTACTGAACTAATTGGGTGAGCTTGAGCAGTAGAGAAATAAAATGGGATACAATATAAAGTACAAGGTCATGTGTTAGAGCCTAATAGGAAAGGCTCCCTGATAAAAGCTTAGAGCTTGTCAGGTGGAGGATGAGAGAACTTTAAAAAGTGGGTGTGCAAG